ATGATGTGTGGTTTTTTTCTCACAATTGATAGTGTTGTTATTGATTCATTGAATAACTCGCTTCTAAAAAATCTTAAGATCCTATCAGTTCATAACAATCAATTTAAGAAAGCACTTGAATTTTATTCAGAACAGAATCGACAGGAAGAGGTTCACGATGAATTCTACAAGGACATGGGTAAAGCATTCTTTAGCGAGAGTTATGGAATTTTTTTAAATTGTCATGAGAATTTTTATGAGTTCAAAAAAGTATTTGATTACTGCGAAAGATATCAAGATCGAAGTTTACCACTTGGTAAGAGGTTGCTCGCCTATGCATTCATTGAGTGTATAGTATTTTTCCCATTCTTCGCATGGATAACCCGACATCGATATATGAGACACATTCCTGCAACCATCAAGGGTAATAATTGGGTTCGAGTAGAAGAAGGAATGCATGTTAGTGGGCATTCCTATGTTTATAAGATCATCGGAGGAGTTAGTAAACTACGAGCTGAAGAAATATGCTCCGAACTTGTTGACTGTGTTAAAAATATGTGGGAAACAAGAATTCTTAGCGATGGTAAAAATGAAGTTAATGGGTTTACATTGGTAAAGGTTCAAAAGTATATTGATCATCTTCAAGAAACCATGTTAAACACGACCGGGTTCTGTGACTATGTGAAGACAAAGAACCTATTCACACATATGGAGTATCTCAAAGTATACACAAGGGTCAACTTTTTTGAAAGACATGTCACAAAATACAGTACTATTCATGATATCGAATACAATGATAGGTTTTTTGATAATTGTAATAAATTAAAATTTGATAATAAATCATAACATAAATTTATATTTAAAGATGTTACTTGGTGCCTGTTATGAGTTAAATATGTCAAGTTATAGAGTTTTACTCATACCCGAATTGACCGAGATAATTGTGAACCACCTCGAACTTACTGATCTCTATCTATTAATAACATTGAACAGGATCGTTGCTCATTTTATAATTCAAAGACTATGGAATGATTTCTTTAG